AAACAAGGCATACTGATTTTTTTGTCCCTGCCAAGTCAAAAAAAAGCTATAATACTACTGAATAAAATTTTACAAATAGATACTGTAACAATAAATTTGACTGGCAATACCTTGATGATATGCACTGTATGTTATTAAAATATCTCGTAGCACAAGAAGATTTTGATTCCCTTTTCCCCTGAAAGCAAAATCAAAAATGCAAAAGTAACCTGAGATGCATTGTACTTTACCTGAAAACTGAAGGAAAATCATCACAATTACAAAATAAAAATAACAATAACATACACTGTTTGTAGTGAACACACCGATAAATTCTCAAAATTTAATTACATAACCAGTGACATTGAAATGTATGAAGAAATGATTTAAATAAAAATAATTTATAATGATAACAAAGGTGAGTAAATAAAAATCAAATGAGGTAAGGGTAGAGAGTATATACCTGATGATCAGGATACCAGAACAGAATGACATAGGGAAACTCAAGGGAAAATTCTGACTGATCATATTTGGCACAAAAGCTATTTAAATATGATAATACTGCACAGAGGTTGGAGACTAGCAAACAGCAGAACAACATTATCACAAAGTTATACTTGTATTGAGTGGTCATGCACAGGGAATGGTGGGTTAATGCCATTTCATGCCATTAGTGACCACTTGAGCTTGCTTAAACATGCTTGTCATACATTGATTTTGGGAGATAAACATGGATAACATTTCACTTGAAACATTATTTTTAATTTGACTTGACTGGTTCCACTTGAAGTGACTGCTCAACACAAGTGTGGAGGAGTGTAAAACAAACAGGCTGTTGGCAGTCAGTTAAAGGTGACTAGGGCTGTTTAATAAAGGTGACTGCTTAATAGTGTGGTTATTACTAAAGTTGAGGGGAAAAGATTTCTAGACTTTGAAACCAACTGCTTAATACAGGGTGACCACTTATATGGTATGGCTTAATTCAGGTTCCATTTCAGTTTCTGCAGAGTACACTGTACCTCATCATTTGCTTTCATTCTCTTTATTCCAAAGAGCTACATGTAGTTAAAGTACTGCTTGCATTTGTGTTAACTGCGCAGACAAATTTCATATGCTCAGACACAGGGTAGTCAGATGCGTATATACAATTTTTTACATGTATGGTTGAAAAAAATGCATGACTCACGTGCCCTTGTTCTTCAGTGCTATAAGTTTCCTTTGTGTTACATTGTTGTGTAAAACAAATAACTTTTAGGTTTGAAAAAAGCAGATAAGGAATTTTAAATTTATTAAAGTTCACACGGCAACCAGGTGGACAATCAGACATAGTTTGAAGCTACACTGGTTTGCAGATTTAATGAATGTAACCGAAGAAGTTACAATTCATAGACCCAACGTTTCGACACTCCTGTCTAGTGCCTTCATCAGGGGTGATCTAAACGCTGCAACAAGAGGTCCTTTTATATGATCACTAATTAGCGGCCTTTTTTTCTGACGAGGTGTAAATAGGCGTCAGGAAGCAGACCGCCATCGTCACGATTTAAAGGAGCGTGGGCGGAGTTAATGTGCCAAGCCTCCAAACAAAGGCGCTGGTGGTAACGCCGATTAGTAGTGATAATTTTAGAATTATCCCACCCAATTGTATGGTTGGTTAGGCAAGTATGCTCCGATAAAGCTGAATTTTCCTTTTTGCAAAGAAAAACCGCTTTTTGGTGCTCTTTTAACCGTGTACCAAACTGGCGTTTGGTCTGTCCGATGTATTCGTTATCACAGTCATTGCAAGGAATAGAATAAATGGCGTCGGTTCGTTGTTCTTTCGTGACAGGATCCTTAGGTTTGGCGAAAATATGCCCCAAAGTCTGAAAAGGTTTTTGAGCAACTTTAACGTTGTGGCTATTCAAAATTCTCTTGATGGGTTCAGTAACACCCTGTATGTAAGGAATAACAGCAAAACCAGTCGCTGGGTCTATGAATTGTAACTTCTTCGGTTACATTCATTAAATCTGCAAACCAGTGTAGCTTCAAACTATGTCTGAATTTTAAATTCTTTTTTTTTTTTAATTAAAGTTCCTTTTGCTCACAGAATCATATTATCAGGTACATGTATCATGAAAAGAAACCTTACTCAAAGAAAGCTTGTCCTCTGTCTGTCCTTGGCACATCTTTATCAATTACTCTGATCGATGAATACAATTTCTGGATTTCTATAGGTTGGCGATCTGCCTTAAACTAACGAAAAAACATGACATGGTTTGGATAAATTTGTCGTCTAAACAGATCAGTTTGTTATCTATAAACTTCTAAATCATTCATGTAATTCAGGCTATATAGTGAACACTTTGCAAAAACTTATGGAAAAACAAACTTATAAAAGTCACACTATTAGGCAACTCATTTTGCATCTCCTAGTCAGACTCAAGAATACAAAAAAGCTGGATGTTCATCCCAGTGAAAGGTGGTTATCATAACAATAATCATCACTTTCAATTAACCTTGAATTCAAAGGCACAGAAAGCAAAAAACAGTGTTTTGAGTGAAAATGAAAACAACTGAAAGCCAAACTTCCTCTCAGCATGACTGAAAAATAGCAAGCCACTTTAAGAGCTGTAATATATTTAGCATGATGTCACTGTAAATGGAAAGTTGAAGATCAGTACTGTTTTACGTGTAGTTTGAATCTTATTTCCTCATAACTTATTACCAAGCCCCTCTATGGTTAATATGCATAATAATTCAATGTACTTGTAATTGAATCATTTGTTACATTTAACTATACCTAATCAAAAAGGAATAAAATTAAAAACCAAGACTTAATGAAACCACAAAATATATTTATGTACGTCACAGTTTCAAATGATTTCAGTAAGAAAAGGTTTTCAGCCTGGTTTAAGTTGTATCTTCCTTTGTTTGCTTTACTTGGAAAAAGCAAAACATGAATGAAACTAGGTCAGCACCATTTCCACAATCTGCATTTCATTTTAAACTACAAAATTATCTGAGACAAACCTTTGCTCTTCGATTAAAAAACACCATTTACTCCCCTGCAACATCATTTTGATCTAAATTATTTTCATTTTAAGCTACAAAATTATCTCAGACAAACCTTTGCTCTTAGATTATGAAACACCATTTGCTCCCCTGCAATAACATTTTTGATCTACATTTCATTTTAAACTACAAAACTATCTCAGACGAACCTTTGCTGTAAGATTAAGAAACACCATTTGCTCCTCATCCACTACCTCTTTTGATAAGCCATCCGTGACATCATCTCTTACAGTGTTATTAATTTGATTGTTCTTACATTCTCTCAGATAGAGAGGTATTGACTCAGGGACATCAGGATCCACTGGAGGTTTGTAATTCTTTAAAAGCTCTTTCCATCTCATTTTCAGTGCTCCATATTGTGCTATATTTTCAGCAGCTAAGGCTTCTCTTTCCCTACGAAGTGATTAACATGTAACTTCTTCCCATAATATTCATACATTATTCAGAAAAAAGTAATAACAATACTCAAACTTATCAAGTAGAAGCTTGTTATCTTGATCAAACACCAAATTCTTTTAACTAATTTACAAAGAAATGTATAGCAGCTAAAAAGTAGAGTTAGCAATCAGATATTGAAAGTTTAAGGCTTAAAACATTTCTAACCTCCTCGTTGATGAAAATGGATACAGCTCAAACAAAAAACTCCAGACTTCCTTTCTTATCTTGCAGTCAATACCACCTTCAATGAATCCAAACAAACACCAAATTATTTTTAGATTACTTCAGAACCCCAACAGAATAATATGATAATCAAAATCCAACCTATGGAATTGTTTGTAGAATGTTATTGAATTTTATTAGTTTCTCATAAAAAAAAAAAAAATTGATTGTAGCTTTAAATGTCAACTCCATGTGTTACTGTATATTGACTGTATGCTCTTGACCATTCTGAGTTTTCAAAGTAAGTCTTATATGTAATAAACCTAGTTATCTACAAGTCCTCTCTGAATAAAAATGTCTGAGTGTATCCAGCATTAGTATACTAGTGGAAATCAACATATTTTATCTATCACAAGCCTATCCTGTAGGTGCTATAATGATCACTTTGCTTTAAATGAAAAATAATTAATGTTCTACCCTTTGAGGAAAGAAAACAAAAGCAAAACGTGCATGTTAACTCAAGTAGTTACAGAGAAATACAGTACATACATACTGTTACCTTTAAATACTGCTTTTCTGAGAGCAGACTCATTCACCACTCTGCCATCTCTATCTAAGAAAGCTTCCCAAGCATTGCAATGCAGCGCTCGTGTGCGCTCGCTGATTTGAACAGGGCTTTCACCATTAAACTGGGAAGTTTCTGGATCATCAAAAGATTTCTGCCAATCATCCTGAGAACTCTCACTTTCTGGAGAACCGCTAGAGTTCTCGCACATCACCTCAACGAGCTAAACAGTTTTCCACATCTTGCCAAAAAGTGACTGCAATAATAAGTAATAGGAGTTTGAGAAATCGAAATAGTGCGAAGTTCAATTAAGTGACAACCAAATGACAACAAGAACAAACAATTTATCTCAGTGTGATCACAGAAAGCGCAATCTCAGCAAACTAGTTTCGAACCTGATATCCTTCAGCGTCATCACGTTCCGTACTTGAACACAGATAATTTGCATCCGGCCTCAGTAAATAAAGTTGTGTTTATTTCTCCGATCATACGTATGTGCCGGACTAATTTGTCAAAGTAATAAAAAAATTGGCAAGCACTTCAGAGAAATGTTGCTTTAAGCTAGTAAACAAAACTTGGCAACACGATCTCATTCACACGATTGCTTTCAAAATTACCTTTGACGGCCGGAAGTTAGCAAGCATCACGAGGTTTCTCGCTGCTAGTTTACAACTACATTGAACGGCCATCTAGGTTCTGTTGATCTCCGATTGATAAATTTCGCTCAAATTATCGTATGAATCCCAACTTATTGCCGAGAAAACAAGCTCTCTTTGGAAGAAAAGCTCTGAAGGGCTATCGATGGTGTAAGCTTATCTAGACAAATAACCAAACATTAGCATGTAAGACTGGATTACACTAATGGCTATTTAGCACCATTATACACTCTCGAACAACCTCATTGAGACATTTAATACTCACCATTTCTAAGACTATTTGTACACAAAAACCTGTACGAGTTGCTTGGGAAGAGATCTACATCACATTCCTATGAGTTTATTCGACTTTTGGCAGAAGGCCAGGACGCAAAGCATCAAAGGAAGGGTTACAAAGGCACAACATGGCGAATCGTAGAGGGCTGTTCTCTTCGGTGTTCAACGAATGACTGGCTTATTTCGATGAAATCTTGTTTCGAAAGAGATGAATTACATAGCTAAATCTGTAGTCTCAAACAAGTTATCCTCCGTGGGAAAGAACTTAGGATGGGATGATAAAGATGATCAAGAGGGAGAAGAAGAAGGAATATCAGAGAAGGAACTTCGCAAAATCCAGGAGAAGAACGCAGCGGCGAGAGCTAAACGACAAGACCAACATGCCAAACGGAACGCTGAGAGAGAGAAGAAACGCGATGAAATACGCGCTAAATATGGACTGAAAGAGGGCCAAGCAAAGAGCAATGGCAGCGGCAGTTCCAGCAGCAGCAGAAAAACAAGCCTTGATGATATCGACACCGAAACAACGAAGGAGAAACAATGCCTCGTGATGTAAAGTTGAACAGTTGAGCAAAATGTATTTTTGAATTTGTGACGCAGTTGTGGTAAATGCATTTATCTACGCCCGAAAATTGAATTCTGTTCTTTTTTTTCACTCCAAAATAAGAAGGTGAAATGAAACAAGTATCGTTCAACTATTATAAATTAATTCGGGAACTGTATTCTATTTTTGTGTGAAATATAGTATCCACGGTCCTCAGCCTTGTCAAGCCTAAATATTGAAAACTTGATATTATCTCAGTTATTTTTGTATGTAGCTTAAGAACAAGAAATTATATGCATGCTTGGATTTATAGTACTTTGAGTAGGCATAAATGTACAAACAGCACTGTTCATGACTTATGTGTAGACTATAAAAGTTGCCCAGTTTTGGGCCAATATCAGTTTCAATTTATGGTTGTTTCGATTCTGAGTCAATTCAAACCATAGACCAAGTCGATTCAATACTCGTGGAAATTTGATTTGATGCCACTTCAGATGCAGTATTTGTAATTTGGTCAATGTTGATGATAAGAAACTGGACTACTTGAATGGAAACTGAGCGACTCATTCCTAAGCATTACATTAAGCCTTTAACTCCCTTCTCAAATTTGTAATTCTCCTTACTATCAACCATACCATTCCTATAATGTTAGTTCAGCGAACTTAGTATTGGATCAACTAATTATCCCCAAAATGATATTTTTCTTTATTCTCATCACTTGTCTGGTTGATATTGTATTGATATTGTAAGGAGAAATTCTGTCTTGGTCACTCATGGGAGTTAAAGGGTTAAAGTCGTTCTGGGAGAAGGTAGCCAAACTTTCTGCATTTGTGGTTACTGAGTGGAATATGTACAGGTGAAAATTCATTTTTTTTGCAAGGACAAAAGGCTATGGTGAATTGCATTCTAAAATTGCCAATCGCCCAACATGCAAGATGTTTACCCTCAATCATCAAAAAGTAATAAAGTAGAATTAGTCGTCAAATCTCCTCGGTATTTCTCGTTGGCTGCCTCTATACAGTCGTCTAGTAAATATTCCCAGAAGCCAAATGTTTCGTTTCTCGTAAGATGATGTGCAGCGCCTACGGTTTCGCCTAGGGTGCTCAATTAAACCCTTCCATTAGAAATAACGACACAATTTGTCGACTAGATTTCTTACTGTTAACCCTCCTTGCGAAAAAATACAGCGTATAGAAATCTTTAAGTGTCAACTGATTTGAACTTTAACCATCTACAATGAGAACGGTTTATCTTGAACTCTCAAAATTTATTTGGTGTTTTTCTATGGACGAGATCATGAAACATCACAAGTAATAAAACTAAGACGAGACATTTTTCTTTCAAATCCGAAAACAAACTAAGCAGGTTGAAATTCATTAACGTTTAACGTTTACTTGTTCTCTTTGAAGAGAGGCTAAGACAAACAACAAGTTGGTCAAACCATATGTCTTGTTTTGGATGCCTCTTGAAACTACGTTTTGAATAAATTCAAGAAATGGGAGATCAACGGAGCAAGAGTTTCTAAAGTTCACTCCACGGTACGTCCGATTGTAGGTGATCGAGATGGGCTGAAAACAATCAATTATTAATAAATTAAGGAGATCAAAGTTTATTTTTCAGGTATAAATATTGACTTTCTGAGAGGCTTGCATGTATTCGACTTGAACTGAAGCCAATAGGCTCAAAATTTAAGAATTCTTCTTAATGACTTTCATGTTAGGTAAAATTAAGCTCGTAAAATAATTGAAATTATCAAGGGGGACCAACAAATTTGACCAGCAGAGCCGCTGTGTGCGTAAAGAGTAAGAGGTTTGTTACAAAGCAATAGGATCTTACCGCAGGGAAACCAAATAGTGATGAAACAAAGGCACCTGGTAAATCAGAATGAAGAAAAGAGATCACTAACAAATTTCCTCCAGCGCGGGAAAGCTCGAGTGACCTTTCGAGTGTGAAATTTGCCTCTGATTGGTTTAGGAACTGATGCGACTTTTCACGACCACCACGGAGCTAAGCTTAGTAAAGCAAAACCGAAGGAATCCCGTATTGTACTTGTGACAGGCAAGGGAAAATTTATTTAATCCATTTTTCACATTGTTCACTTGATCTGTTAATTGATTTCTTTCTGCAATTTCTTTTAATTCAATTGAGAACCCGT